TTAGTTCATAGTATAACTACTTATAAATTTCGGTTACTAAGTAATAAGAAAAATAGTTTTCCAATACTTTTCGTACAGTATGTTTCTCATTTTGAAACCACCTGTTCACAAGATTCCATTTTTCCATAATACACTCTGTATAATGATCATCAAACAAAAATATTGAGAACGTAAATAATACGAGGTCAAATGATAACAAGAATTAGTTAAAGAATCCTCAACCACATGTAATTACCAACGATTTTAAATATAAACAGATTCAACCATTAAACTACCTTCAAACTTTCAGCACATGCATAAAGCTCCTTTGTACAAGATTTCTCGTAATAGAAGATATAGATTAAAATGCTTTCGTAAGTAGTTTCGTTTTCAACAAAATCAAAAATTAATAATTGGGAGTGTGCGCACGTCGATACAGAAATCAATCCGTGCAAGGAAATAGTAAAATTTCGAATTACATTTCATAAAAAATGAAGCCACTTACAAAAATAGTTAATGTTTTTAATTATTTTCATGTAAAATCATAACTCTCTTTTTCAATAATCTGAAGGTATAAGACTGAAGGTAGAAGAAGAAAAGATCTGATTCACTATCAGCAACACTGTTATTGATGTCAATGACAACTTTCTGTATTTTGACTTGCTTTGCTTTAGGAAGAAGCGACGAAAAGTAAGAACTTCATTGACAATTGCGATTGTTGCGATAACCATCACTTATTAATCCAATTTCAGTCCTTTTTTAGCAGCAGCAGAGGTAGACAACTGTTAACTTAGTAGGGCCTTGTACGATTGTCACATGCAAATAAACCAATGTGGCATAATATGAAGAACTTTACAACTTATTATAAACGTATAGCATGATGATACACTATCCAAAAGAGAAGGGGAACGATAATGTTTAGCTTCCTCATTATATCGATGCCTACTGCTATTAGGTCGCGTTTTGAACACTAATTGTAAGTCAAACCGTCATTGGATTTATGAGCAACCTCAAAACGTTGCATTTGATATGGGCAGCCATCAGTCAAGGAAGGGCTGAATCAATCCAGATGACTTAATAGCTCACGTTTGGCTTTTCTGCATTTGATGCTGTTAGCCAAGACAGTCACGGTACCTGGATACAAAGTTGTAAAACTAGTCAGAAGAAGAATAAGAAAAGCCACCGGGAAACAGCGCAAGGGCCACACCATGCGAACCAATTTGCGGCAGTTTGTGACACCTAGGAGCATTGCCCTAGCCAAAAACTCGATAAACGAATAGTGGCACTTGCTTTACTATGCTGAGAGATGCAGCAATGTTTTAGTATCGAAAGAATATACTTCATGACAAACACTTGTACATTAGAAAACTCGAGTTGATTGCGCCTTCTATACCCTTGATTCAGTCAAACATAGCCCTCCTTTTTGATTGTACGTTATGTTACGAGACACCTTCTATAAGCTATAAATAATGTTTATGATCTATAAATAATCTTTACAATATATCAATCATTAGAACACAAATGGTGACTTACTAAAACAATGTATAATAACAGAATATAAATGCTGTTTAATAGCACATTTAATTTGTAAATTATTTAATATAAGGCCGATAATTCAAAATTACCAGACCATTATTACTAACCAAGCTCCATAGGCAGATTGCAGAGATTCATGAGAAAAATAATTGCAACAAAATAAAACTGTTTTGTATCAGAGATAATGGTATGAGTTTCGATTGACTATATATAATTTTGTTCACTACCCACGTTTATCACAGTCCACGCATGACTCATTTTTTCTCTTAGTATTTTGAGGTCCTAAACGCCAACAACATTTGAGCAATCCTTCGGGTGATTTAAATATAAAACACCCACGTAACCCATAAACACCACATGACTAGGACATCATAAAGCGCAAAGATAGAACCTGGTCTGACACTTAAAAAGCGAAGACATTGTTTAGTCTAGCTTGCGTTGTTCGCACAACTCTTCTAAACCTCCAGCCTTTCTGCATAAAAATTATAACTCTTTATTTGATATCTCTAGTCATGTAACGAGGGTATATTTATAATACAAACTATAAGAAATACTTACAATGAGGGGAGATAAGTGGTACCCGTATGATCTAATCGATGTTTATCTTCACTTTTCCAGCTTGAAACAGGAATTTGTGGAGGTGGCAGAAAACTTCGTAATGATTGCACCAACTGTATGGTATCAACTAGTGCTGTAATAAAATAAATAATTGAATATATGGGTATTACTAATTTCTCTAGTAGGAATAATATTGTAAAAGTATCCATACATCATAAATTCAAATATGCCAATTATGAGTAAAATAATATTCATGACATATTAAAAAATAATAGTAATAAACTATATGTTCTTTTACTTTTTTGCAAAGCTTCTGATTGCTTTCCATAAGGTTTACACATCGCAGGACGTACGCAAGCCTTCATTCGTGCCATATTTTTCATTACCTCAGCAAAAGCTCTAACTATTTTCTCTTGTCCACCTACAAAATAATGTTTAGTTAATACTAATTATAATTATATACATTAAACTTGATGAGTAAACACTGTAATCCATTAACTACCTTCTGAATTTGTAGATGACCGAGAACCTTTCTCATTTTCCAAAGGCCAAGCTCCATTATGTAAAGCTAATAAATCCTTATTTGCATTTCCTATTCCTTGTAAGTTACCTAAACCAAAAGGACTGAGATTGTCCAAATTATCCAAATTTGTTCTTAAGAAATCTGTTAACTTATGATCTGTCATTGAAATAGTAGGTACTAAAGATTCATAATGCTGTTTTCCAGTAGTAACTTTTTTTTCTTGCGATACAGGTCGATGTGGAATATTTAATGATGGACGGCTTGGAGGACGTTGAAGATTTATTTGATTTCCAGCACCTCTAATTTCTGACAAGTCTGTAGTAGATCCTGCTCCTATATGAGTATTTGGATTAGCACCGCTTAAGGTCTATAATACAAATATGGAATACCATTAACTTTTTAGATCATAAAGAAAATAATAAATTTTCACATAAATTAATCATAATGCATTTATGCTTACTGCTTGAAAATCTGTATTATGTGGAAAACTACTACGTAAAAGAGAAGCAGTTGTTTCATTGTCTTGTATATATGTTGGTGGCATATGTCCCATTTTTTGTGTTAGTTCCAATTGATTTTTATAATAACGACACGCAGGATTTGGACAATTTTGTACCACTTCTATTATAAAATCTTTTTCCATACCAAAACATTCTCGTCCAATAGTGTATGATTCCATAACAGCTCTAACTGTACCTTCTAAACCCAAATGTAAACCATGTGGGCCATTCATGTGCTTTAACATCACAGCATTTGCAAAATGTTCGTAAGGTAATATTATCTTTCCATTTTCTCTAAGGACTAGCCTACCCTGAGAGTCCAAAGCTATTCTTGATGCCATCATCCTGTTTACACGTTATAATAGAGATTACAAAAACATCTCAGCATAGAATAAGCAAGAGTATTATATTCTACAATGAACAAAACCAAAGTTTAATTCTATACAAATTTTAAATTATGCATCCTTACTGCAAATAAGCACCACTTGGTATCATAGATGCATCCTTGAATTCAGAAAAACATTGAAGAAGTTCAATGCTTGGATTCCAACCTTTATTCTGAAGATATGCTTGTAATAGCATATACATCTTTTCCGTAACATAGCCAGCACTACTAGGTGTACCAGGGTAACCAGAACCTCCGCCTGGTGGTCCCATTTCGGTTTGCATACCTTTGGCAACTATATTTTTCATAGTTTCTGCCAAGTCCATTCTATACAAACATAATCATTTAATTTAGGAATATAATACTTTTTTTTGTAAGCACAGAATAATAGTTTTCAAAATCAAGGGAAATAAAATCTATAGTATAAACAAGAATTAATAAACTCGTAGGTATAATGACATTATGTCAGCCTTTACGAAAATACGTTTGCATTACTTTGTAGTCATAACAAATTACAACATTTTCTAACTTTAGTAATTAAATTCTACGAAAATAATCGAAAAAAAAAACAATTACAATGTACAGTAACCGTACCGATGCTAATTGACACATGTAATAAAAAGGGATCAGGAAAATGCGTGTAGGTTGCCAGGGTAGCAAGCTTGGCAGTTTAAAAGTCCATGCATATTTGAATCCTCCGGCCATTGTTATTTTCGGGATGAAGACGTCTAAAGAAACGATAAAAAAACACTGATGCGAGCCACCGCCCCCCTTTAAAAACGGGGGGAATGAACGTTTTAGACACTCACCCCGCACCAAGCACGATTTTCACTCACTTGAAGTGTAACCGGGAACGCTACAGGGTCCGTATATCATCCTAATCGCCGCTACTTGACATACCCTCATTAATGATTCTTCTCACATTTGCAAATAACATAAATCGCGATAATTATTTCCGCAAGGATTATTTACCTAGCTGGCCGCCAGGGGCGCATTGCCTTCACGATTTTTACCGTATCCGTTGCGTTGCGTATGTATGCATGTACGTATGTACATGTATGTATTACACCTACGACATTTCAGCGCTTACGCGACGCTACTTTGCGCATTTATCAATACATTTTACTTTTTGCAATTGATATTGCCTGACAGCTTTTCAATATTTACTCTCTAACTAAGTGAAATGAATACATCATAATTTCAATTTTTTGCGGCTCATTTTTCTAATAAATTATGCAAGTTTTTTAATATAAATTGTCTACTGTTGCTTCGAATTATCTACACTTTTCGATGCATAACATTTATATTGCTCGATATGTATACATGTATATGTATATGCATCGCGTACACCTGCGCACAACATTTATTTATATTGTCAGAGTCTCTATATATACGCATTATTGTCAATAAAATATGATCCAAAGATAGAGAGTATATTAATTAATTAAATATATTTATTATTATTAAATAAAATATTTATTGAAAATAAAATTCATGAGATATTGCACACATATCTTGAAAGACAGATGAAACGCAATATAGACTTATATACAACTACTTAAAACTCGATATACGACAAAATATTTAATAAAATGTAAGAT